ATTCAGTGAGTTAGCAAGCAGAAGGCACAGAGTGGGCATCAACTCTAAGTCAGCATTAGCACCACCACGCCGGCCACTGTCAGGGGCTCTTTCACACCTCATCTCCAAGCACCCTGCTGCACAGCCTTCCTCAGGTCACACACAGCCAAAAAGGATTCTGACATCTCCCATCAGACCTGCAGGAGTCACCTCCACGGATGCGGGGAGGAAGGAGGCCTCGGTTCCGGGCTTTCCAAGGTCACTTCCAGTTGTCATGGGCTGTATCTCCACGGAACAGAGCCAGGGGGTCGCTGACTCTTTCCAATGTAGTCTTTTTTTTTTTTTTAATTTTATTTATTTATTTATTTATTTGTTTTCTGACAGGCAGAGTGGACAGTGAGAGAGAGAAACAGAGAGAAAGGTCTTCCTTTTGCTGTTGGTTCACCCTCCAATGGCCGCCGCAGCTGGTGTGCTGCGGCCAGCGCACCGGGCTGATCCGATGGCAGGAGCCAGGTACTTATCCTGGTCTCCCATGGGGTGCAGGGCCCAAGCACTTGGGCCATCCTGCACTGCACTCCCTGGCCACAGCAGAGAGCTGGCCTGGAAGAGGGGCAACCGGGACAGAATCTGGTGCCCCGACCGGGACTAGAACCGGGTATGCCGGCGCTGCAAGGCGGAGGATTAGCCTAGTGAGCCGCGGCGCTGGCCCCAATGTAGTCTTAACTGTTCCTGCGATGAGGCCAGGACCTGTCTGTCAGTAGGAGCCACCGTGAGTTTCCGTCTGAGCTTTAATGAAACACAAGCGTGCACACACAACACAACATACCACACACACGGACAAGGACCCCCCACCACCACCACCGGGTGACAATGAACAGGGTTTCTGCCGCGTACATCGTGGTCCCTTTGTTGTGAAGTGGAAGAGGCAACAAGGAAACACCAGAGATGGCACCAACATGAACTCTGTCCAGGGCACTAACTCCAGGGCCACCAGTGTGGAGGCTGAGTGTGCAAGCAGCCATTGATGCCTGCAGGATGGAAAGGCCCAAAGCTGCCCATGTCCCACAGAGGGACAGGGTTTGTGCACTGCACAATTCATTCCACTTCAACGAATACTTACTGGACATTGGCCGGAAAGCCATGCATGTACCCGATGTGGGATACAGACAGATATGGGGTCTCTGCTGTCCTTCGACACACCAAGGAGTGAGAGTAGCAAGGAGGGAGAGCGTGAATGAAGAATCTTTCTCTTTAAAAAACCTTTCTTTCTTATCCCAGGCCTTGGGGATGGCCATCTGATCTGGACCCGGACACGAGGACTTTACTTTTTTTTTTTTTTTTTTTTTTTTGCGTAGTGGGTATAGCCGCTGGCTACAGTGCTGGCATCCTGTACGGGTGCTGGTTCGAGTCCCACTGCTCCACAGCTCTCTGCTGTGGCCTGGGAAAGCAGTAGAAGATGGCCCAAGTCTTTGGGCCCCTGCACCCACGTGGGCAACCCAGAGGAAGCTCCCAGCTCCCGGCTCCTGGCTTCAGATTGGCCCAGCTCTGGCCGCTGCAGTCATCTAGGGAGTGAACCAGCGGATGGAAGACTCTCTCTCTCTCTCTCTCTCTCTCTCTCTCTCTGCCTCTCTCTAACTCTGCTCTTTAAACCAATAAATAAATGTTTAAAAAATATATCATAGAGCACAGGGTGGGCCTATGGTGCCCACACAGGGTCCTGGATCTGCTTCTGTTTCAAGCTTCCTGCCGATGTGCACCCTGGGAGGCAGCAGATAATGACTTATGTGCTTTGGTCTCTGCCACTCACAGGGGTCCCTGGCTCTTGGCTTTGGCCTGGCCTAGCCCTGGCTGTTTTGGAGTGAATCAGTGAATAGGAGACCCTCCCTCTACTTTTCACATAAAATGAAATACAAAGTAGAATACAAACAAGTCTGTGCGGTACCTACTACTTGATAATAAGCAACCGCATTGCTGGCTGTATTTGCTGCACTGCACACTTCGCTGTTACTGTAGAGTGTACTCCTTACAAGGACAACGGTTACTGGGTTACTGTAGCGCAGTCAGCTGTGGTTCACCAGCAGTGGCGTTGTGCATCTTGTGTTTGCCAGAGGCCACCCCGAGGGACAGCCCTGTGTCTTCCAGGTCTGTGCAAGGACACAGCCAGGAGCTTCATCCAGGTCTCCCATGTGGGTGGCAGGGGAAGGACTTGACTTTGAGCACTCAGCACGTTGCTCAGTTTTTCTACAGACCGAGCTCCACGAAAGACATGGCTGGAGCCAGGATTCTGGAGCACAGCCATAGTCTACCGCTGCCGGTGAACGTGACCTACTTGTGGCAAAGAGACATTTTTGCCTCTGGTTTCGGAGCACTGAGCAGTTTGGCCCGTGGAGAGACATTTCACTGTGGCAAACTCCGTGGTGCTTCTCAACCAAAGCGCAACGGTTTTGCTTGCATTTGCGGAGGAGGAAGTCGGGGTCCGTGGAAATGCTTCCCTTTCCCTTCCTTCCTTCTTTTCTCTCCATCCCCTTCTGCTTTCTTTTCAATCACAAGTTAGGATCAACAGTGAGTATTAACTATGCCTGTTACCCAGATCAGATATATTGCTCCTTGGGAACGTAGAAGGGGTAACTGTGATGGCAGTGAACAAAACTTGCTACCTCTTGTAACAACCAAAATACACTGTTGACATCAAACACAAGTACAATTTGGTTAAAAAAAAAAAAAAAAAACTCTTTGAGAAGCTCTGGCACTGCGAAGCAAGGTACCAGCTGTCTACCGATCTGGCTTAATCCACACATGGGTTTAGACTAGCTGCATGTGAAAAGTGCATAAGCTAATGTATGCTTTAAATAATCCTCCCTGAAAAATACTTTTCTCTTCTGAGTTTTTAATAAATATTGGATGGCAAGATGAGATTATACATCCAGCTAAATCCTGGAATGCAGCTATGGCGTGTCTAAATGTGACCCGTATGCTGCACCAGACAGTTTAAGGGTGGAGTTCAACCTGGTATGAAAGCTGAGGGGCCTGTGCTGCGGCTCAGTAGGTTAATCCTCCGCCTGCAGCGCCGGCACACCGGGTTCTAGTCCCGGTTGGGGCGCCGGACTCTGTCCCGGTTGCCCCTCTTCCAGGCCAGCTCTCTGCTGTGGCCCGGGAGTGCAGTGGAGGATGGCCCAGGTGCTTGGGCCCTGCACCCCATGGGAGACCAGGAAAAGCACCTGGCTCCTGGCTCCTGCCATTGGATCGGCGCGGTGCGCCGGCCGCAGCGCGCCGGCCGCGGCGGCCATTGGAGGGTGAACCAACGGCAAAGGAAGACCTTTCTCTCTGTCTCTCTCTCTCACTGTCCACTCTGCCTGTCGAATGAATAAGTACATTTTTAAAATGAGAAATACTTACAAGTATAAATTATCTTGCAAATGTCAAATCTTTCTGACAGTAATTAGCTGAAAGGGGTTTAGAGCCTTTGAGATAATCAGAGTGACTCCATCTGCATCTGCGGTAGTGTTGACCTTTCTTTTTCTACAACAGAAAGCTGTTGTCCAGCTCAACTAGGAAACCTTTTCAATCACTGTGCTTTTGTTTGTTTTTAAGAAAGAAATCCCATCATGCTTGTTTTTTCTTTTTTCTTTTTAAAGATTTATTTATTTATCTGACAGGCAGAGTTAGAGGGAGGCAGAGAGACAGAGAGAGAGGTCTTCCATCTGCTGGTTCACTCCCCAAATGGCTGCAATGGCCAGAGCTGTGCTGATCTGAAACCAGGAACTGGGAGCTTTCCCAGGCCAGCAGCAGGGATGCTGGATTGGAAGAGAAGCAGCCAGGACTTGAACCAGCGCTCATAGGGAATGCCAGCACCGCAGGCGGGCGCCTAACCCACTAGGTCAGAGCAATTCTGAAACAGCCCTGGATGTAAGTGTTACCCAGGAACACTTTACACACATACAGTAAAAGTACGCCAGTGTTGAGAGGACAACTTGGTCAATGGTAACACAGAAATCCACATACATTCAAGCCAAGATCTTGAACCTGCAGCTTTTAATTGGTTGCTGAGTAGGGGACCATTCCTGAACTCCTGTTTTCTTCCTGGCAGAAGGTCAGGGAGCCAGCACACAGTTTACCACATCTCCCTTCCCTCCGCCATGCAATCAGCAACGTCCAAAACAGAAGTGGCTTCGTGAGCCTGGGTCCTAGAGTAACAGCAGCACAGAGTGGAAGAGCGGTGGGTGTGGGTGTGATGGGCCCGCAGTGCGAGTGGCTGCTGCAAGCCACTGAGATTCCCAGGTGCTTGTTGCCTCGGCACAACCCAGCCTATCCTGACTGGTTCCGGATATTATAATTATGTAACCAGAGTAACTACTGCTATTAACCACCAGCAGCGGTAATCAGGAAATGATCATTGTTATGCCTCACTACAAATGATACGTTTGCGGGGAGGTCTCCTGTGCAGATGGAAGTGTAGTGTGGGGAATGCAAATGGGGAGTCAGGTCAGAAGGAATATTCAAATCAGGAGCTGTTTGCTCGGTGGCCTGCTCTGGTCCTGGGGAATTTAGAGATAGGATGCACAGTTTCTCTTTTTGAAGGAACTCAGCTAGTAACAGCAGCTAACATCCGGTGAGCACTTGGGACACGCCAACAAGCCCTCTTGGGGTCTAGCGGCGTCTCCAGTGCCGCCTTAGAGCAGTTTGGTGATGAACAAGAAGCTTCTCCAATTTTGACCCACAAAATAAACAATTCTATTTTAGAGAAATTAGTGAAGCAAATGAAAGGTTGTGGGATGCGTTTAAAATAGCCACAGAGCGTCAGGAGCTGTGAGCCAGACCAAACAACACACCTTCCCACACACCCTACTTGGGCCTGTGATTACTCCAATCCCAGCCCTGGCCTGTAGCAACATCCCTCCAAAAGGCACAACTGGAAGGCCGTTTGCAGGAATAGGGCAGAGCTGGACCAAGGGTTAGCCTGGGAATCCACCGAGACTCCACTGGGGGAAGTGCCTGCGATTTTTCTTTACATGTGCGGATCGATGCTTAACTTTCTGACTCCTTTTGTCTCTCACCGTCTCCTCTGGCAGTTCCCTTTGGCCGCTGCAGCAATGGCTCAGCCGGGGCTGCGGCGAGGGAGAGAGACTCCCTGAACCGGGCAGCCCCAGCCTGACCGCGGCTTATCTGGTGGTAAAGGAGTTGCAGAAAGTACCACGTATGCCTTAAAGCAACCTCCTTGTCTGTGCATGGAGCGTGGGTGGGCCAGCCCTGCACTCCGGTGGCGGCGAGCTGGAGGTGCGACTCCGAGGCAAACCTAGCAGAAGCGACAGTGCAGGCTAGTGGGGGAATAAGGAGTTGTCTCTGCTCAGCCTCGCTCACACAGCCGTGTCGGGGAGGGGCGGCCGCTCCAGGCCTCGGGTGAACGGGCGGAGGTGACACCAGGGACTGCGCAGGGCCAGAACAGCGCGGCTCTGTCGGCGGGGACAGGGGAAGCGGTCGGTGCACCAGCGGCTGTGCGGGGCGGGGGCACTGCCTGCCGCCCCGCCCCCTGCCGCGAAGGCCAGGAACAGTTAGGAGCTCCCAGGTGCACGTCAACTGCCGAGCATCTCTCGGCCTTGGAGCCTGTCATGTGTACAGCGAGCGTTTCCTTTTCGCAGAAGTCAGAGAAACAACAGCTTTAAAGTCAGCCGGCTCCTTCCCACCTGGCCCTGGAGCGCGCTGCCGTCGCGGAGGCGGCCCGCGCGGGCGCCGGCAGAGCAGCCGGCCGCCCGGGGCGGCCAGGGAGCGAGGACACGGGGGCGGCTGCCTTCCGAGGGAAGGTTCGCTGGGGCCGAAGCTTCATTTCCAGACCTTCCAGACGCAGCGGCGGAGCAGCCCACGGGGAGAAGGGGACGGGAGCCGGGGCCGGGGCCGGGGCTCGGGGCCTGGCCTGGTGCACAGTAGGGGCTTTTAGGTGGGCAGGAAGTGAGGCAGGACAAAGGCCTCCCGCAAGTCGCACGTAATCTCTGAAGTCCCATGGCCTCGCCTCTGGGCCCCTGTGTCTCTCACGCTGCCATGGTTTAGGTGTTCCCCAAGGGCCCGCGTGTCGGAGGCTTGGTCCCCAGGGTGGCGCCTCTCAAGGGTGGGGCCTGCGGGAGGTCCTGAGGGAACGGCATGGGTGGGGGTAGGGGTGGGAGGGCATGTCCTTGAGCGGGACTGATTCTCATTCAGCCCCTTCACAGCAGAGCCGTGACACGGGAGCAAGCGTGGCCTGAGGCGCGACCACCCGCGACCACCCGCGACCACCCGCCCGCCATCTGCCATGCGGAGGCACAACTGACTCAGGAGGCTTCTCGCGGACGGCGCTGCGTCATTCGGTTTTCGCACCTCCAAGACTGTGAGCTAAATAAACCTCTTTATTTTTCTGACCTTAGCTCCGTCGAGTATTTCATTATAGTGATGAAAAGCCAGCTCACACACATCCCACGGGTGAGGGCGGAAGTGGGTCTCACTCATTCTTGCCTGTGCGCGCTCTGTGCTAAAGCAGCATTCAATAGAGGGCGCTGGAGCCAGGCTCGCTGCCCTGGGAGTCTGAGTTTTCCACCGACTTTTGTACCAGGTACTTCAAAAGGACTGGGGGAAAATGGAATTCAAAGGTAATGCACTTTTCCCACGATTTTTTTTTTTAAGATTTATTTTATTTATTTGAAAGATAGAGTTACAGAGAGAGGTGGAGGTCTTCCATCCACTGGTTCACTCCCTAGATGGTCGCAATGGCCAAAGCTGCACCTATCTGAAGCCAGGAGCCAGGAGTTTCTTCCAGGTCTCCCACGTGGGTGCAGGGGCCCAAGGACTTGAGCCATCTACTACCGCTTTCCCAGGCCATAGCAGAGAGCTGGATCGGAAGTGGAGCAGCCAGGACTCAAACCGGCGCCCATAAGGGGTGCCAGCGCTTTAGGCCAGGGCTTTAACCCACTGTGCCATAGCGCAGGCCCCACCCCCACGAACTTTTTGAATACTCATATTTCACAGATTTGCTTATCTCACTTTAATAATGAGGAAACTGAGGTAAGGTGATTCATTCAACAGAGAAGTGCCGAGAGCCAAGGGGCTGTTGGCAGTAGTGTAGGGGTAACCATCTGTGCACTCACACAGCTTCACCCTAGTGTGAAGAGACAACAACAAACGAAGATGGAAGATGCATAGGATGTCGTTAATCGGTGCTACGGGGAAAGGGAGGCTGGAAAGAGGCTTTCTAAAGGGAAGGGTCAGGGCAGGAGTTGGGTGTGGCACCGTGGGCTAGGCTGCCACTTGGGATGCCCGCATCCCACATCAGAGGGCCTGCTTTGAGTACTTGCTACTCCTCTTCTGACCCAGCTTCCTGCTACTGTGCCTGGGAGGCAGCAGATAGTGGCTCCTGGGCTCAAGTCCCTGCCACCCATGTGGGAGACCCTGATTGAGACCCTGATCCCATCTGCTGGCGTGGGTCTGGCCCAGCCCCGGCTGTTGTGGGCATTTGGGGAGGGAAGCAGCAGATGAAAGATCTCCGTCTCTGTCTCTCCTTCTCTCTGTCATTCTGCCTTTCAACTCACTCATTTTTTGGTAAAGGGGTGGGTCAGAGAAGGCGTCTAGTGTAGATGACACTTGAGCAGAGGGTGAGTGACAGGGAGCCAGTCTGTGGAACCTGCCAGAAGACCATTCCAGTTAGGGCAAGGCCTGGTTGGGAGTCTGGTGTTTCCAAGAAGAGCCTGGAGGCCAGCAAGCTCTGCTGTGACTTGTCCAGGTTTAATCGACACTAAACTTGAGTGCTGGCCTAGTACCAGAATTTATGCCTAAAAAAAGGTTTATTTATTTATTTGAGAGGCAGAGTAACAGAGAGAGGGAGAGGGAAAGAAAGAGGGAGAGAGGGAGAGAGGGAGAGGAAGAGGGAGAGAGAAAGAGAGAGAGAATCTTCTATCTGCTGGTTCACTTCCCAAATGGCCACAAAAGTCAGAGTTGTGCTGATAAAGCCAGGAGCCAGGAGCTTCCTCTGGGTTTCCCACACGGGTGCAGGGGCCCTAGGACTTGGCCCATCTTCCACTGCTTTCCCAGGCCATAGGAGAGAGCTGGATCAGAAGTGGAGCAGCCAGAATTTGAACCAGCACCCATATGGAATGCCATGCCACAGGCGGAGGCTGAACCTACTACGCCACTGCGCCAATTTTTTTTTCTTTTAAGATTTATTTATTTGGAAGGCAGAGTTACAGAGAAGCAGAGGCAGAGAGAGCAAGCGAGAGAGATCTTCTATCCACTGGTTTACTCCCCAGATGGCTGTAACAGCCAGAGCTGCACCAATCCAAAGCCAGGAACCAGGAGCTTCTTCCAGGTTGTGGGTTTTCCAGGTCGTGGGTGCAGGGGCCAATGACTTGGGCCATCTTCTACTGCTTTCCCAGGCCACAGCAGAGAGCTGGATCAGAGTGCAGCCACCAGGACTCGAACTGGCACCCATATGGGATGCCGGCATTACAGGCGGCAGCTTTACCTGCTACACCACAGCGCTGGCCTCTCCATTTCTCTTAATGGCTGAGTAATATTCCTTTTGGCTATTGGTAAGTGAACATTAGTGTAAAAGTATTTGAGTGTCTGCTTTGAGTGTTTGTCTAGAAGTAGAGTTGCTGGATCATATGATAATTGCACTTCTAAAAGATACTTAAATTTTAAAAAAAGATTTATTTATTAATTTGAAAGTTTCAGAGACATAGGGAGAGACAGAGAGAGAGAGAAAGAGGTCTTCCAACCACTGGCTCACTCCCCAGGTAGCCACAACAGCCAGGGCTGAGCTAGGAGCCGGGAGCTTCATCTGGATCTCCCATGTGGGTGGCAGGGGCCCAACTACTTAGGCCATCTTCTGCTGTTTTTCCCAGGCCATTAGCAGGGAATTAGATTGGAAGTGGAGCAGCTGGGACATGAACTGGTGCCCATATGGGATGCCAGCCTCCCAAAGTGATGGCTTTACACACGATGCCAAAATGCTTGCCCTAATTTATTTGAAAGGCAGAGTTACAGAGATGGAGAGACAGAAACAGTGAGAAATCTTCTACCTACTGGTTCATTCCCCAAATGGCCACAGAGGCCAGGGGTGGGTCATGCCAAAGCCAGGAGCTGGAACTTCATCCTGGTCTCCCATGTGAGTGGCAAGGGCCCAAGCACTTGGGCTGTCTTCTGCTGCCTTCCCAGGTGCATTATCTGGGAGCTGGATGGGAAGAAGAGCATCCAAGACTGGAACCAGTGCTCCCATGGGATGTCTGGCATGGCAGGCAGCAGCTTAATGCACTGCACCACAATGAGGCCCTTTTTTGTTTTTTGAGGAACCATTAAGCTGTTTTCTATAGTGGCTGTCCCCTCTTACATTTTCAGCAGTAATTCACAGAGTTCCAATTTCGCCACAATCTTGTCAACTTGTTTTCCCTTAAATATTTTTTATTTGAGAGGCAGAGAAAGACAGAGTGGGACAGATAGAAGATAGACAGACAAACCATCCACTGGTCAACTCTCCAAATGTCTGCAATGGCTGGACAAACCTGGAAATGAGGAACTCAATCCAGGTCTCCCACACAAGTGGCAGGCACTCAATTATATGAGCCGTGACTGCTGCCTCTTGGGGTCTGCACCACCAGGAAGCTGGAGTTAGAGCCAGAGCCAGGACTTGAACCAGGTTCTCTGACAAGAGATGTGGATATCTTGACCAGTAGGCTAAATGCCGAGTTTTCATTTTTTAATTTAAAAAGAAAGAAGTGTATTTATTCATTTTTACTTACCTGAAAAGTAGGGGCGGCGGTGGTGGTGGTGGTGGTGAACAGAGAACGAGAATATTAATCTTCCATCTGCTGGTTCACTCCCCAAATTTCCACAACAGCTGGGGTGCGGTTAGGTCAAAGTCAGGAGGCAAGAGCTCTTTAAGGGTCTCCCACGTGAGCGGCAGGGACCCAACTACTTGAAACACTGCTTTCCCAGGAGCATTAGCAGTAAGGCAGATCAGAAGCAGAACAGCTGGCATTCCAACTGGCACTCCAATGCGGGATGCAGGTATCCCAAGCAGCGGCTTAACCAGCTGCGTTGTAACACCTGCCTTGTTTCCCCCTTTTAATAGCCATCATTACAGGTGTGAAGGTCACGTGGCTCAGGTTGTACTTTTTTCGCTACTAGAAATAGTCAAACTTGCAGTGAATCTTCAATAGATGTATGTATTTTATGGTCAGTGACTCTTTGGTTTTTGTCTCACTTCTAAATTCCTATCAGTTCTCAATCAGGGATGATTTTCATTTTCTGTACTCTCTGGTGGTGACACTTGAGAATGTCAGGATATCTTCTGGTTGTCACAACAGAAGTAGGAGTGCTACTGGCATCTAGTGGGTAGAGGCCAAGAATGCTACAAAACATCTTGAAATGTACAACAAAGAACCATTTGCTACAAATGTCAATGGTGCTCAGGTGCAAAACCCCTACATTATAGCTGTTCTGTCATATATCATGGCTCTTTATAAAGTATGATGGATCCCTGTGGGAATAAAGCAGAATATATAGTGACCCAGTGCAGTGGTTGAGATGCTGCCTGGGACACCTGCACCCCACATAAGAGTGCCTGGGTTTGAGTCTTGGATCCTCTTCTGATTCCAGCATCCAGCCACTGTGCTCTTGGGCGCTGAGGGTTCAAGTGCCTGGGTCCCTGCTACCCACATGGGAGACCTGGGCTGAGTTCCAGGCTATGGCTTCGGCCTGGTTCATCCCCTGGCCACTGTGGGCACTTGGGAAGTGAGCCAGCAGACAGAATATCTCCATTTTTTTTTTCTGTGTCTGACTTTCAAATAGAAAGTGAAAAATAAAGACAAAAACTTTTTCCCATTAACTAGTTCATTTCCCCAGAACCTGCAACAGCCAGGGCTGGGCCAGGCCAAATCAGGAGCTGAGAATTTCATCTGTCTCCCTTGTGGGTGGCAGGGCGCCTCTCTTGAGCCATCACGTGCTGCCTCCCAAGGTGTGCATTAACAGGAAGCTACAATTGGGAGTGGAGCCAGACTTGAACCTAAGCACTCTGATATGGAATGCAGGCATTCCAAGCAGTGTCTTAACCACTATGCCAAATGTTCACTCAACAGAGATATTAACATCATGACAAAGATACAGAGGGCATCATTTTCCTTTAACAATATGCTCTATATGTGTATTTAAATCATGTGTATTTAAATGCCTTTATTACATTCGTTTAAGATTCATTAATCTTAAGTATGAAAATACTATCATTTTTTTTTTGTTTGTTTGTTTGTTTTGTTTTAATTACCATGTTCCTGAGGGAAACAAATTTAGACACCTGGCCTTCTGTTAAACTGAAAACTGCTTGCTGAATGCCAATCACGTCCCAGACTCTCTGGAATTAAATACATGTTGGGGGGCCTGGTGGAGGTAGTCCCTGCCCCCCATGGAGCACAGACTTCATTATGGAAAACCTCATACTAGGTCAAGCATTTTTAAACAGTGTTGTGATGCCCCTTCCCTTTTAAAGTCCAACAATTAAAGGAAATGGAAATTGTTATAAAATGGAAAACTTTTTAATTGTTTAAAGCAAAGGCACAAGTAAACATTTCAGGTTATCATACAATGTTACAATAAAAAATCCCAACAGTAAAATGAAATACATTATCACTTTGCATCTCTGTAATATATTGAACGTATTTTTCTACCATCACTTCTTTGAAGTAAAAAGAAGGGATCAATGGATGTGATGTAAAAGCTCTGATTATAAACAGTATTCGTACTACTTTGAATCAGAAACTTTAATTTCAGTAGAATTAAAATTAATTTTTAAAACTTACTGTTGTGTTAATGATAGAGCAGCAATAACTTTCAAGCTAAACTCACTGCTTTATTAAGTAACTCACTGATTTTATGAAATGTTAGCTGTCAATAGCCAAGGTGGTCACAAAAGAACTTTATCAAAAAAACATATCTATATACTTAAATTGTAAATCTGAATATTATCGTTTATCATGTAAAATATTACAGTTTATCATGAGGAATGACTGGTGTATGAAGCCAGAAACAATATCCTTGAAAAGGGCTAGAACTTATTTCATTCAAAGGCACTATCTGTAGAGTAACAAGCTGCACCACGTTCAGAGCTGAGAAAAAGGCTTTTCTTTCCTTCAAAATAACTGGCCAGTGAGTTGGAACCTGATGTCTCTCAATTAGCCAGCAAACATCTGAGTGCCTGCTATCTAGTAAAGAAATAAAAGAGTGGAGACTGTGCAAAGTTACATCTTTGACTTGTTTTTCCAAGAAGAAAAAATTTCCCCTTATTTTTTAAAAGGCTGTTGATGTGTTTTCTTGATCTAAAAGGTCTCTGTTTCATGATCGCAATGCAGTTTCCACTTTATTCAGGTCACAGCCTGTACACGCAGCATCTCAACCCAGGGTAGCAGCACATCAGGAAGCTACCTATACCAAAGCAGCAAGTCGTTCTATTCTGAGTCACTTCACTTA